CTCAAAACTGCATAAGTTCTTCCAGAATTCCAGCCCAGGGCTACTCTTGCTCTAACTGTAAAGACTCTGAGAGATGGGGCATTTTGGACTCAATACCATCATACAAGGCAAAGAATGGATCAAGTAAATTAGGTCTACCTGTAAACATTACCTGCCCACCTGAAGAACACTGCTGGCCTAACGCTGAGGGTAAAGAATGAGAAGAGGGATTAGAGGGGGTGGAAAGGAGGAGATCCCAGACAGAAAGCGAAGAAGTTAAAGGGAATATGAACCTTGAAGAAAGAGAAGTTCTCAGAATTGCAAAGGAAAGGAGGATATTTTGGACAGAAGAAATTAAATGTGTGAAGACACTGTTTACTCGTGAACTGCAAGTATGGTGTGGTGTTAAAATGTATTTATTCAGCAGGATGAATATTTGAGCCTGGAAAGTAACAGAAAACCCCAGGAACTAGATGAGTATCAAATTTTTATTGGGATTAAAAAAATATTTACTAATAGAGTAATGAAAGGCAATTGAATGCTTATTCTAGGCAGGTACTGTGTTAAGTACCTCATAGAAATTGTCACTTTGACTTTTTTTCCAACAAAATTATAAGCAGCTATTCAAATGGGAAAGGTAAAGGCCTACAGAAATTTACTTTCATATGTCTTTTTGGATAAGGCTATGAGTTCAACTTGGGTTAGTTCACCTCCAAAATCCTTCCTATTCACCTCTGTTATAGGTCAGAGTTTGCAAAAAAATCACCAGCACCACTTTAAGAAAAGTAGCAAGGTAAATTTTATTTTTCAACTGGCTAGGCTGTCTATCTCGGGAGTAGAAGCAGCCCTGATCATTGTCAGGTCAGAGTTTTTATAGGATTACAGAAATATTATTCAAACAGGACACTTGTGAACCAATCAGGTTTGTACAACATAGCAGAACTTTGACTCTATTAATCAACAACCAATCATTATACAGACAAGTGATACAGTCATATAACTTGGCAATCAACTCTGTAGTTTTAAATTAGTCAACTTCCTAGCCATGACAAGTATAGTAAGAAAGCTGAAATCAGCAGTTACTGGGTGGTCATACAATACAGGGTGGTCTTATACTTTGTGTCAAGGTGACCTAAAATAGCAACTTACAGAAGCGAAAACAAGCAGCCATATGTAAAATATCTGGAATTAGCACATTCCATGGTTCATGGCTAGGACAATTTCCCAAGACCCAAGGTTTCTCCCCTTTTTGTTTTGGTGTGGAGCAAGGCTGCTGCTAAAATGGCTCTGAAAAAAATGGAGTAACTTAGGTAAGTTTGCTGAGCCAGTTCAACCTCTACTGCTGTGAACTGCCATGCAAGGGATGCAAGCTTCTTTCTGATGAGAATGGGAAAGTGGTGGGAAAGTTTTAAGCATGAGAGTAATTGGGTTTTAAAACGAATTTTTAAAAAGTATTTTATTTTTATGTGTATGAGGGTATTGCCTGCACATATGTAAGTGCACTGGCGTTGTGCAGTGCCCAAGGTCAGAAAAAGCTGTCGGATCTCCTGGAACTGGGGTTATGAATGGTTGTTAGCTGCCATGTGGTGCTGGGAACTGAACCCAGGTGCTGGGGACCAAATTTGGGTCCTCTGCAAGAGAAGTCAGTGCTCTTAACTGCTGAGCCATCTCTCCAGCCCCCCTAAAAAATGAATATTAACACCAGGTGCGGTGATGCACATCTTTAATCCCAGCACTTGGAAGGTAGAGGCAGGCAGATCTCTGTGAGATCAAGGCTAGTCTGGTCTACATAGTGAGTTCCAGGCCAGCTGGGGCAACAGGGATACCCTGCCCTCCAAAGACAGAAAAAAAAAAAAAAAAAACCAAACCAACTGACCAAACAAAACAAAGCAAAAGAAAAAACCACAAACAAAACCCACCAAACAACAAAAGAATTAAAAAATAATATTCTCTCTTCCCTGGAAATTTAGTGGGAAGGTGTGGACCAAATTCTCTCTGGGTCTCCTGCATGATCAGACAAACCATATAATATATTTTATGTGTATTTATTAACTTACAAAGGAATAAATACCCAATGCCTATCCCAGCCCCCCCCCCTCGCAGAGCCCCCCTTATCAGACCCGGCCACACCCATAATTCGATCACACTTCCCATTAGTCGTCTTTAGGCTGTGGCCACTGATCTCAGTGGTGTTTCTTCTACTATAAAGACAAATGGAAGAAAGTAGATACATTTAAACAAACATGAATGTAAATACAGATGCCTAGAAGCTATCCCAATAGGTGTACTATACTCATTAAACAATATACTCATGATGGCTTCTCCACCAGGGCCTGTAGCCTTTCTCGACAAAAGGTGTTGGCCTGGTCTACAGCACCAGATGTGTGTTCCATCCCTAGGAGTGGGCCTTATCCAATTAGAAATTTGTCAGTTGTACATTATGTGGTCAAGCCATTATTGCACTTGCAGGTATTGCTTGGCATGTCTGTACTGTGCAGCACACGGGATCCATCGTTGGGTAGACTTATAGGGGATCCTTTCTTCCCCAACCATCTGTGTAGAGCCTTCTGGCACTATGAATGTCATCCATCCAGTGGCACGGAGTTTTTGACTTAGTCTCAGTTCCATCTCTTCTTATCCCTGGCTCACAACATGCAGTGTCCTCAGCCACATGGCCTTACTGACCTTTCTAGTGTACAACTAACATTAATGGCAATAGCCTTGGTGAAATGGAGGACCTCTAGGAGCTCTCTCTGACCAACAGCTCATAGGGGAGCAACCCACCCCTGGTACTGTAGATTTTCTTAACAGTTGTCTATAGCTGGCCTTTGCTTCTTTCGGTGTCTTTCAAATGGACAAAGGCCAAGAAATAATTTCTAACTTCCAACTCGAACAGATGGCATGAACGTCTTTCAGCAACAGGAATGTGGAAGGAAACAAATGGATTTGGGAAGCAGTCATTTAGGCACAGACATAGGCCAAAGAGACTGACAACTCATCGTGTGCTCAGTCACTCCTAGGACTGAGGTGCTGAGTGCAGGAGTTGACTAACAAGTTCAGTGTAGCCTGCAAGGTCAGTAGCCACGCTCCAGTCACTCCAACTTGAGGACCAGAATCCCCAGCCTCCCGTAGCCTTTGGCTGTTGGCCTAATACCTCAGAGAAAGCTACAACACGGCTTCAGCAATCCACTCATCTGGGAGGTGGCCAAAGGGAGGAAAACGCCCATTCTAGTCAGTTAGATCATACTTGAAGGAGGAGCTTTAGCTCCCGAGACTAGCAATATACACCTTTTGCCATATAGAGTCTGCCCTCAACACCCCGCCACCTTCTCCAGGTTCCACCGGAGGCAACCCCGCTTAAGACAGTACAAAGTGATCAGCTCCTTCTGAGGGCCTGTGGGTGGCTCTGAAAAGAGCCTTTTGTTGGTGGTCTAAGAACTCGGGATGACTCAAGCGCGCTCCCCGCGGATGCGGCGGGCCAGCTGGATGTCCTTGGGCATGATGGTGACACGCTTGGCGTGGATGGCGCACAGGTTGGTGTCCTCGAAGAGCCCCACCAGGTAGGCCTCGCTGGCCTCCTGCAGCGCCATCACCGCCGAGCTCTGGAAGCGCAGGTCCGTCTTGAAGTCCTGCGCGATCTCGCGCACCAGGCGCTGGAACGGCAGCTTGTGCGGCGGGCCAGCTGGATGTCCTTGGGCATGATGGTGACACGCTTGGCGTGGATGGCGCACAGGTTGGTGTCCTCGAAGAGCCCCACCAGGTAGGCCTCGCTGGCCTCCTGCAGCGCCATCACCGCCGAGCTCTGGAAGCGCAGGTCCGTCTTGAAGTCCTGCGCGATCTCGCGCACCAGGCGCTGGAACGGCAGCTTGCGGATCAGAGCCTCGGTGGACTTCTGGTAGCGCCGGATCTCGCGCAGCGCCACGGTGCCGGGCCGGTAGCGGTGCGGCTTCTTCACGCCGCCCGTGGCCGGCGCGCTCTTGCGGGCCGCCTTGGTGGCCAGCTGCTTCCGCGGGGCCTTGCCACCGGTGGACTTACGGGCCGTCTGCTTCGTGCGGGCCATGGCCGAAGGAACCGTGCGCGAGACAACAGAGGAGACGCTGCCCAGAGAGCGCCAACGCAGCCGTCTTTATACGTACCGGCTTCCCAACGGGGCGGAGAAACCCACTCGAAAGTCCCGCGCTGCCCGGCCATTGGCTGTGACGTCACCCACACCGGCGCCTCCGATTGGCTCGGGCCGGCCCCCTACCCCACCCCGCTGCGCTCCACCCCGCCAGCAGTTGGCCTGGCCCTGGTCCCACTTTCCGCGCGCTTGCAAGTCATCTTGGATGGCTGCCCACGCCCTCCTCGTCTTCCTACCGCGGGGCTCCGCCCAAGACGCTCCCGGACCTGCGCCCAGCGCATCTAGAAACGAAACCCAGGTCTGGGCAGGCAGGGCAGACGGCTCTGAGTTAGAGGCCAGCCTGGTCTGCATACTGAGCTCCGCGGTTAGCCCGGGCTCCGCCGGGAGACCTTGTGTCCAAAAGAGAACCTGGGGGCCGGGCGCGGTGACGTCAGCACGCCCTTGATCCCAGCAATCAGGAAGCAGAGGCAGGCGGGTCTGTGAGATGGGGGCCAGCCTGGTCCACATAGTGAGCTCCAGGACAGCTGTGGGTACAGGGAGACCATCTAAGAAATCCACAACACTAGACCAGTGAGGCCAGGACCCAGACCTTCCGCAGCCCGTAACTTTCATGGGGCGGCCGTGGTCCCTACGTCCCGTAGACCTCATTTAACGCAGGGGCTCGAAGCTTAAGGAGGGAGGTAGGGCAGGGAACTATCCCCGAACTCCAGAACACCTGGGGACAGCGCTGGCGGCGCGGTCCCAGGTGCAGCCGAGTGTCGACTTGGAAAGGGCCTGCGGACACACTGGCCAGGACCAACCGCCCACTGACGAGCCAGGGGCTCAAGACCAGAAGGGAGGGCAGTCGGGGACTTGGGGAGCAGCGAGTACGGCGGCTGCCACCGAAAGCCAGCAGAACGGCTAATGTCACAACTCTTTAATCTGAAACAGTGGGTGGCTCTGAAAAGAGCCTTTGGTTTCAGCGGACATCCGTTTTCGAGTCCTGGCTGGGGCGGGGCGGCCTCACTTGCCCTTCGTCTTGTGGTGGCTCTCGGTCTTCTTAGGCAGCAGCACAGCCTGGATGTTGGGCAGGACACCGCCCTGCGCGATGGTCACTTTACCCAACAACTTGTTGAGTTCCTCGTCGTTGCGGATGGCCAGCTGCAGGTGGCGCGGGATGATGCGAGTCTTCTTGTTGTCGCGGGCCGCATTGCCCGCCAGCTCCAGGATCTCGGCCGTCAGGTACTCCAGCACGGCCGCCATGTACACCGGCGCGCCGGCGCCCACACGCTCCGCGTAGTTGCCCTTGCGCAGCAGGCGGTGCACGCGGCCCACCGGGAACTGCAGGCCAGCGCGAGACGAGCGCGACTTGGCCTTAGCTCGAGCCTTGCCCCCTTGTTTGCCACGACCAGACATCACGACGACTGAGAAAGGACGAGCTTCCAAGCCAGCACCTCGAAAGTAACCGTGAACGCTGCTGCCTCACCCTTTTATACGCAGAACGGCGATTGTCCGCTGGCTGCGGTCATTGGCTGAGGCAGGCTCTCCCCATGGTGACCAATAGGAGAGCTGCAGCAGAACCCGCTCATTTACATAATCCCGTCTCCCAGGTTTTGGCGCTGCTGATGACTCGTGTCTCTCATCTCCGCAGGTTCGGAGCTTTCGTTTTCTCTTTTAGTTCCTTAATGTCCTTCATAAAATCTCCAACTGTGCCGAGCTCGCCTGTAGTCCCAGCACTCGGGAGGCAGAGCCAGGCGGATCTCTGTGAGTTCAAAGTCAGCCTGGCCTACATAATTCCAGGCCAGTTGGAGCTAAAAGGAGACTGTTTCAAAAAGACCAAAAAAAAAAAAAAAAAAAAAATCTCCAACTGCATCACTAATCATAGTATCCTCCCCTGATATTTTTCGGTGTCAAAGCCATGAATCCCAGGCTACTGAGTGTGACAGCATGGAGCCTTGTCTCATTGCACCACTCACAGCACTGAGAAATGACGCGCTATAGTGCGTATTGGGGAGTATTAGGGCCATAGGAGCACATGTGTGTATTAAAATGACCAGGAAAGCCAGGTCCAAGAACTTACCAGACACACCAGACCAATGAAATGTAACTCGCTCGTCTGCCCTCCGTAAAGAAGTGGACATAGCCCCGTAATGGATCTAGCACCTACGGACCTGTCATTTGACCACGCAAGGACTCCACTATCCCAGGTATGCTTGCGCTTGATAGCCCATCTGTCCACCAGTTCGTACATCTGGATCCAGTCCTGCCATTCTTCACCTCACTCCCACAGCTCAACTCTGAACCTACAGCTTGATCATGTGCAACAGCCAACAGCACAGCACGTCTCCAGCTTGGTTTGATTCATTATTTTATCAGTGCCAGGAGTCTTAAATACATACCGATTTGCAGATATGGCCTCTTAAGTCTCTTTGATACTCTTTTCCTCTTTCTTTTCAGTTATTTTGCAATTTATGTACATATGTGATGTTACCTTTATGAGCTGGACATACCCTAAAATCACCTGGGAATAGAGTTTCAATGAGGGAGGTGGAGAAGATTGTGAGAGATTGTGTAAGAGTGGAGGAATCCAGAAGCTGGAGCCCAGCACTCACGTGGTGGCTAACAAAGGCCATAACTCCAGTTCTAGGTGATCCAACCCCCTCTTCTGACCTCTGCTGGCATTTCAGGACACAGGTGCACTTACATACATGCAGGCAATACACTCATACACATAAAATAAAAATAAAATGTTTTTTGATGAAGAGTGGAGAGTCCAGCTGAGTGCAAGTAAGCAGTATCCATTTATTTCTTCTTGCTCTTAACTGTGGCTAAGATATGACTCCTTTATTATTATTATTATTATTATTATTATTATTATTATTATTATTTGGTCTTTTTGAGACAGGCTGGAAACTGAACTCAGGTCCTCTGCAAGAGCAGTATGTGCTCTTAACCACCAAGCCATCTCTCTAGCCCAATTTTTAATATGTATGGGTGTATTGCCTACATTGCATGAAAGTCATACAATGCCCTCAGAGGTCAGAGGAGGACATTGGATTCCCTGGAACTAGAGTTACATAGTTGTTAACCATCATGTGGGTGCTGGGAATTGAAGCTGAGCTAGGTCCTCTGCAAGAGCAGTCAGTTCTCACAGTCTCTCCAGCCTCGTGACTAGCTGCTTTACATGTCTGCCACTGTGATTTCCCTGCTATGATGGACTGTGACCTGGAATTGTAAGCTGAAATAAATCCCTTTCTCCCCTAACCTGTTTTTGTTAGGATATTTTATCACAGTAATAGAAACAAAACTAAAACAACACATACATCATATATACACACACACACATATTTATTGGGTAATGGGTAACGTGTGACCGTAGAGTTACTATTAACAATTAAGTTTGAAATAACAGAATCTGTGTTTGCCTCCTCCATGGCTACATGGAAAGAAATATGTGGCAGATGGCTCATTGAAACTGCTGTACCTTGTGAATTTACTGTTCTTAAATTCTGGTATTGTGGAAAGATACACTGTGTTCATCTATGTTCATGATCTACCATGCTCCTGACATAATCCAAGGGGGATTATGTAATCAGAAAAAAATACAAGAGTAATTTATTTTCTATGTTCACATGCGGAATTTCTTTCAATAGGAACTGTGACTTTACTTTGATGTCAATGGACAGATATTCTTACCTGTGTCACACAGAAAAAGGCTGGAACGCACTTAAATAGGTGAGTTTTATAACTTGATTTTAAAAAGAGAAATAGATGACGAATCTTTAATTTTAACCCTATCCAGAGGTACTTAATATTTATTTGGGGGCTGGAGAGAAGGCTGAGCAGTTAAGAGCACTGACTGCTCCCCTAATCCTGAGATTACAAGCACATGACTCCACATCCTGGTTTTTATGTGGGTGCTGAAAATGGAACTCAAGTTTCATGTTTGAGTGACAAGTACTTTACTGATTGAGCTGTCTCCCAGGCCCCTTTTTGTTTGTTTTTTGAGATAGGTCTCATGTAGACAAGGCTAGCCTCAGACTTGGTATGTAGCACAAGCGGGCCCTTAACTCCTGATCTTCCTGCGTCTTCTTCCTCTGTGTTGGGATTCCAGACATGCACAACCACACCTGCCTTTCCCTAATTTCTGTCTACAGCAGGATTCAGAGAACAGCTGTACTCAAAGTTGCTCTGAGGGGATGTTGGTGCTTGAGTCCTCCAGGGTTCAGAGTTCTGCATGAAGGAGATGGTTGATGTGAGGGTCTCCATGTGTCTAGAGATAGCAAAAGGGTCTTTTTGTAGTCAGGCAGGGTGGAACAGACTAGCATGTTGGATGGAGGCTGAGGCAGGGTGATTGTGAGTTTGAGGCTACCCTAGGCTATACAGCAGGACCCTGTGTTCTAGTTTGCTTTCAATTGCTATGACATAACACTCTGACCAATAACACTGTGAGGAGGAAAGGGTTTATTTGGCTTACATTTCCCTGGTCACAGTTCATCACTGAGGTAGCCCACGGTGGGAACTCAGGGCAGGAACCTGGAGGCAGGAGCTGAAGCACTGGCCCCTGCTCAACCTGCTTTCTTATACAACATAAACCCACCTGCCCAAGGGTGGCACCACCCACAGTGGGCTGGGCCCTCCCACATCACTCAATAATCAAGAAGAGGTCCTACAGACATGGCTATAGGCCAGTCCAATAGAGGCAGTTCACCAGTTGAGGCTCCCTCTACCCAAGTGTTTCAGGTTGACAACTAAAGCTATCCAAGCACACCCTGTTTCCAAAAAAAGAAATGGAAGTGGAGAGAATGGGTCTCTTTCTGGCAACTCATCTACATCCTCTGGCTTTGGTCAGAGGCTGTTTCCAAAAACAGTGGAGTTAAGTTCTAGACTAGAAGACCTATAGGGCCTGTTGGGTAAAGCAAGAACACAGGAAAGGTGAGTGAAATAATTCAGGGGGCGGTGTTTGGTAAATGGAAGGGCTGGAGCCACTAAAGTTCTGTACTGTATCAAGATTTGCAGGCTTAGTTTGGGCATGCCTTTGATCACAGCATTATGGAGGCAGAGGACAGATGGAGCTCTGTGAGTTTGAGGCCAGCCTGGTCTACATAGCAAATTCCACGCCAGCTGCATAGTGAGACCTTGTCTCAAAAACCCAAAAAACAAGAGTTACAGGCTTAAGGAACTGTAGAGATGGCTTTGCAGGTAAGAGTGCTTAGTGCTGTTTCAGAAGACTGGAGTTTGTTTGGTTCTCAGCACACAGGTAGGGCAGCTCACAACCACCTGTAACTCCAGCTCCAGGAAAGCCAATGCCTCTGACCCCCATGGGCACCTGCACTCACATGCTCATACCCACATACAGATACATACGAATAATTAAAAATAAAATATATCTTTTTTTTTTTTTTTTTTTTTAGACAGGGGCTCCCTTGTAGCCCTAGCTGGCTTGGAACTCACTATAGAGACGAGGCTGGCCTTGAACTTACAGAGATCTGCCTGCCTCTGCCTCCCATTGCTGAGATGACAGGCATGCACCACCATGCCTAGCTAAAATAGATCTTTTAAAAAAGAAAGAAAAAAAAGCACTGACTGCTCTTGCAGAAGACCCAGGTTCAAATCCCAGTATCCACATTGTAGCTAACAACTGTCCTTAACTCCAATTCTAGGGGATCCGATGCCCTCTTCTGACCTTGGAGGGCATTGCATGACATGGGTGCGTAAAATAAAAATAAATAAAATTTTAGTGGGAATAAGGAAGTTGTTGGAAAACTTGGAATTTAGTTTACTTTATATTAAGATTTCTCCTTATTAGAGCTGATCATCATAGACTACTAGAATTTAAGAATCTTGGGACTGGAGAGCAGGTTAAAAGCACTGGTGGCTCTTTCAGAGGACCTGGGCTCAGTTCCCAGCACTCACATGGTAGTTAACAACCATCCATTACTCCAATTCCAGGGGATCCAATACCCTCTTCTGACCTCCTGGGGCATTACATGACACTGGTGCACTTATATACATACATGCAAGCAATACACTTATACATAAATAAAATATCTTAAATATTTTTAAAATAATTTAAAGAAATAAAACATGCATTTAGAAGCAGGGGTTCTACAAATTATGAAAAGAACTTAGGACCCCAGTCAATTATCAACTAATTGATTTTGGATTTTTTCCAAGTTATAATCTGGAGTTTCATGCAAAATTCTAAGCTATTACACAAATTAAAAATATTTTACTTGCATTTATTTATTTGTGTATGTGTGTAAGCACTTGCAAACCACTACACATCATGTGGAGGTCAGAGTACAACTTTCAGGAGTTGGCTCCCTCCTTCCATTATCTGGGTTCCAGGGATCAAACTCACAGGACCCATGCAACTCTTTTGTAAAACCTGTAACAGGAGGGGAAAGTGTTCCTTACCATCATGTTGTGCAATGTTATGGTTTAAAGATGGTATAAATGAACTAAATTAGCAACTTTACCTGTTACTCCATCTTGCTCAGAATAGCTATTTTAACATTAACCTCTTTTCACTTATGGGAAATATTTAAAAAGAGAAAACAGCCTTGAGTTCTAAGAAACAGCTCAATCACAAACCAGTGGAATGTGCTAATCTCAGACATTATACATCTGGCTAACTGCTTGTTTTCGCTTCTGTAACTTGCTTGCTATTTTAGGTCACCTTGACACAAAGTATAAGACCACCCTGTTATTGTCTGACCACCCAGTAACTGCTGATTTCAGCTGTCTTACTATACTTGTTATGGC